ACCACTATCAAAATCAGTCCAGACCATCTCATCACCTCAAAAAGAAACCCGATATTTATTAGCATCCACTCCTTATTTCTTCCCAACCCCTCCAGGTGTGGGTAACCATTAATCTACTTTCTGTCTCTATGGATCTGCCCTGGACATTGCATATAAATAGAATCATACAATATATGGCTGTTTTTGACTGGAACTGATTCAATGGCAATGGTTTTACTAACTCACGCATACGCACGTATCTGTTTTATCTACTGCCTGTATGTATATTAAAAACCATGAGTTTATATTGCTGTCTCTGATTCTAATCCAACACTGTGGCCATTTAGCTTTTCCTTATGTGTAACTTCTTTCATCTACAATGTATTTACTTATTGGTTCAGTTTTGGGAGTTTCAGACTTGCTAATCAATAGTCCTGTGAGAAACACACTTATTGACAAGATCGTATAATTTATGTTCAGTTCTTTTTGTCTCCCAGCCTTACAGTATCTCGTCAAGATGTTAGGTTAGTCCTTTTCTTCCCCACTCCCTTCACTGTGGTTATATGATTCATTTGTGATACAATTAGGTTCATTTGTGTGTGTGGTTGTATTACACTTAGGGGTTTCCCCGCATCCTGGTTGGTTTTGTTTGTTTTTATTTGGGGTTTACGACGGGCATGTGAAACACGGCTGTGGTTCTAAGAGTCCGAGCTTTACAACAAGACAAACTCACAGAAGTGTCACTTGCTCGTCATCCCTGCGACTCCTGTTTCCATTTTCCCCTTCTTTTGACTCTTTTCCCACCCACCCTTGAAGGTAATCAATTTTTTGTAGCTTCACACTTATCCTTTCTGAATTTCTTTTGCAGCAGTGAGCAGATATATGTGTACTTGCTTATATCTTCTTTTTTATCATGAAAAACCAAAAAACAAACGAAACTCATTGCCATTGAGTCGATTTCGACTCATGGGAACCATATCGGACAGAGTAGAACTGCCCCATAGGGTTTCCAAGGCTGTAATCTGTATGGAAGCAGACGGCACATCTTTCTCCCGTGAAGCGACTAGTGGGTTCAAACAGCTGACCTTTTGGGTGTCAGCTGAGTGCTTTAACCCCTGCACCACGAGGGCTCCTTTTTTACTTGAAGGGTCACATATTATAGATAATCTTTGGCACTTTGCTGTTTTCATTAACAGTTATACTGGAAACACTCCATACAAGTTCATATGCACAGATACATGAACGGTTTTGTTGGATTTTGTCAAGTCTTCATCCAGAAGGGTTGGACCAGTTTGCATTTACCCCCAGAACCGCCTGAGAGTGTCTCTGTCTCCACAGCCTCACCAATAGAATATATTGTCATATTCAAACATTGTTTTCAGTCTGATGGGTGAGAATTAGTATCTTAGTGTTACTTCAATTTGCATTTCTTGAATTATGAGTGAGTTTAAACTTTTTTTATGTGCTTAAGGACCATTTATAACTATATTTATGAATTATGTGGTCCTGTCTCTTTTCCATTGTGTTTTTGGTCCTTTGTTCAAATTTTGTAGAATCCCTTCGTTTATTAGCTCTTCGTCTGTGGTATATGTTATGAATATTTTCTCCTGGTTTGTCAGTTGTCCAAAGAAAAATGGAGTGAATGATCCAAACCATCCATCAATTTAGTTATCAGGGTTTATTGAGCAAGAAGCTGTTCGCAAATAGGGAGCGTCCAAGCCGAACGTGTTGAGGGGCCCGTTCAAGCAGTGTAAGTTTAGGGTTTTTTGAAAGGCACTTAGGAGCCCTGGTGGCACAATGTTTAAGCTCTCAGCTGCAAACCAGGGGAGAGAAGAACTGGCGATCTGCTTCCGAAAAGATTACAGCCTAGCGAACCATACGGGCAGTTCTACATTTCTACTCTGTCACGTGGGTCGCTATGAGTCAGAATCAACTCCCTGGCACACAACAACAGGGGGTTTTAGCAGGGAGGTGCCAGTGAGTGGGTCTTCGTTATATCTTTAATTGAAGGTCGTGTCTTACAAAGCGGGGGTCTTTCTCTTTAAAAAAAAAAAAAATTCTTTTGTACTTTAGATTAAGGTTTACAGAACAGTTTCGCATTAAACAGTTAGTACACATATTGTTTTATGACATTGGTTAACAACCCCACGATATGTCAACACTCTTCCTTCTTGACCTTGGGTTCTGTATTACCAGCTTTCCTGTCAAAGCAGGGGTCTTTCTGTCATTGGCTTTATAGATATACTTGTCTATTGGGAATTGCTGGAGTCTAGTTTGGTGAGTCAGAAACATTCTTAAATGTCAAGTTGTTTTTCTGGAAAACTCTCCATGGTTAGGATACTTTGAAAACTCCCTCTTGTTCTGTCAAGGTTTGTACCTGGCATAATCAGCCACGTAGATTTATTGTTCTCAGAAAGGTTGTACCTGGCACAAACAGCTGTTAATTTTTATTT